TATATTTAAGCGCGCGCACAAGATGAATTCGTCCGCCACGTGGCGGTCACAGGAGCAGGAAAAGGCGAGATCTTCGGTCTTTTAATGAAGCACAATTTTAAAGAAAACATTAGAATATATATTTTAACGTCTGAACAGAGTTTATACAAAAGTCTCGAAGAACGCACGACTAAACAACGATACGATACGACGATACGACTTTACACGACTAGTTTCGACTAACTTCGACTTCGGCTTTGACCCTCGCGGAGAAGACGTCTGTCTCGACTGCCGACTACAGAGAGAGAGTGCCGGATCGCCGGCTGCTGTGAAAAATGGAGCACGTTCGATGATATTAGTTCAAATAGAGGTTGCATCAACCTCGCTATGATTGATCGAAATCGAAGTATCTAAAAGCGAGCGCTAGAATCGTTCGAGTGCCGCTCACCGAACAGCACTTTTGGCGCTATCCGCCAGTCGTCTTAGGAACTTCTTTTAGCTCGGCCATTCCGTATTTATCTTCATCCATGAAGATTTGTTTATTATATTTCATTAACAAAGTGAAAGTCGCTACAAAGAAGATACTCGTCGAACATTAATAACCAACACAAATTATAATTAATCTTACAGGTAGATAATCGCATTCTTTTTCCAATAAACATATGATTTTTTTTATCGGCAATGTACACTAATCCAGACCTGCGAACACTTGACAGAAATTATCACAGAAACATTTCGGTTATCACACGTATCACATACCATCTTATAACTAACTTAAATTAAGACTGGATACAAAACTTAATAGTAATTTAACTAACTCTAACTTATATCTAAGCAGGCAGATCTATCTCCTTTCGCTCGTCCGCACGGAGAAGCTTTATCCAGCGTTTTAGGATGATCGGACGAAAGGACGATATTATACAGGCATTGAGCAAGATTAAATCCAGGTATGTCCTATACCACGTATCGATTATTGTTTAATATTTTAGCAATCATATACGGACCTTTATATTTGGCCTGGAATTTTGAACTGACACTGGTTTAGCCTGTGACTCTCGCACAAGAACATATTCACGCGGATCAAAAATCGTTGGTCTTCGTAATCGTTCGTCGCGATATTCCTTATAATGTCTAATTATATCATTCGCAATTACAGCTATATCTTTTACTTTCTTTCTTTCTAACTTCAGATCTATTCCAGTATCTATTCCAGCAAGATCATGAATAAACTGAGTCAATTGATAATCAGAATGCGATCGCTGGTTATAGCCAAAAACTAACTTCGCTGGCATCGTCTTTGTCACAGAATGGTAAGTATTATTTATTACGTACTGCATTATATGAAGTTTTCTATTCCGCCGCATCAGAAAGTAAGTTAATTACTAACGAACTTTTTAAAAATTGATCTTTACTCTTTCGACCATTCCATTTGCCTACGGCGCAACTATGGCTATTTTACGATGCTTAATTTTATAATTACTAGTAAATTCTTGGAACTCGCTCGAAGTGAACGCCGTTCCTCTATTTATAGTTTCTTTTGGATTACCGAATGTCGCGAATATACTTTTCAGGCAAACAAGTACTTCACGCGTCGTAGATTTAACTGCGCTAAGTCAGGTAAAAGAGTCTACCACAACTAAAATATGTTTAAAATTATTGCATGTTTCTTGTAACGACCCGAAATGATCCGTGTGAATTATTTGCATTATAGGCGTCGGCGCAGGGTACAGGGAAGTCTTCCCTTCGAAACGGCTCATGGAATCATTTGCCATCATGCAGGTAAGACAACTTTCTATATGATTAATTATTCTCTTACGCATACTCGGAAACCGATAGCACTGTTTTATGCCATAGAGTCTTCTCAACACTCATATGAGCCATCTCATCGTGATGAACTCGTATGATGTTGGAAATCATGAACTCTGGTACAACGAATCGTAAGATATCATTTTCCTTTCTGTACACCAAGCCTTTAATTAAAACGTACTTATCACTGGATTGATTTTCTAATCTGTTTGCTATTTTTATGATTTTAGAATCAGCCAATTGACGCAGCTCGAGCTTTCTTTCCACGGGGCGTTCATCTACATAACCGGTGGACCGATTAAAAGCATCTACATGTTGCATCTTGTTTTCTAGTCTATGTACTACTTTAAATCAGTAATTTTGTAATGATAAAATCCATCTCGCGATTCGCAGATTCAAATTGGCTTTGTTCATAACATATACTAGCGCATTGCAATCCGTGACTACTTTGAAATCTAACCTATATAAATACAAATGAAATTTTTCTATTGCACGAACTATCGCGAGCATTTCTAGCTCGTAACTATGATAATTTTTCTCTGCTTGATTTGTAGATTAACTGAAATCTGAAAACGGTAGCTGCCCATCTATCGTTACGTTGCTTTTGCAATAGAATTGCACCAAGGCCCAAATGACTAGCGTCCGTGTAAAGTTTTGTTTCGGCCGTAGGATTATACAAAGCTAATATGAGCGATGAGGTAAGCTCTCTTTTAATACGTTCAAATGACTCGATACATCGATTATTGAATTTAAATTCTACTTCTTTTTACAATAAATTTAAAATCGGGCGAGCTTTAATAGAAAAATCTTTGATAAATTTTCTGAAATAACTAGCTAAATCTAAAAATCTTTATACTTCATGTATGTTGGACGGTTACTGAAATTTCTAATTGCTTCTGTATGTCGCGGACTGAGAGTTATACCGTTTTCCAATATTCTATCTCAAGAATTCTATATCTTTACGTAGAAACTGACACTTCAAATAATTTACTTGAAATTTATATTTTTTCAGGCAAATAAGCGTTTCCTCAAGGACGGCTAAGTTTTGTTCGACCGATTCCGACCGTTTTTGGAATTCCGCTGGGGTTTCTGAATATTCAAACGGTAAATATCGATATTTGTATTGCCCTTCTGGGATCGCGAAACCGAAATATTTAGTGTTCTGTTCGTGAACTTTAATATGATGAAATCCGTCCTTCAGATTTAAGACCGATTTACTATACAATCTCGAAAAACAATCTTCAATTATTGGGAACGGATACTTTTGTTTAATTACCCTGCTATTCAACGGTCTTAAATCGACGCACAATCTAATGCTACCGTTCCTTTTTCTAATAGGTATGACTCTAGCGCAATAAGGCGAGATGCTCGGTTGGATGATTTCCCTTTTTAACAAGTCATCGACAATCTCACGAATTTGCAACCACATAGGCGAAACGTCGTGGCGCAAAAGCGTATATCGAATTATTTTTGAAGTGAACGCGAAGCGAATACCCATCATCCACAGGTACCATGTTAGCGTCTTCAATAGCTATTATAGATTCCATCAGTCGTTTTTTTACTCGACTATCAAAATCAATCACATATGTATCACGTATCTTTTAGAATTTGTTTCAGATCATTCGGCGTGTCTTCAACATAGAGAGGGAGATTGGCGAAAAGGCATACGTCGGTCTCCGTTCCACCAACCGTTGTTCTTTTCAATTTACATATTAAGGTAAGTTCTTCTTGAGCAATAAAATCTCTCCCAAGAATTACTCGAAAACGATTCCTCATCTATGACGTACATATTGACGGTAAATTTATTCGATTTATTCGATTTTTCATAATACTAATGGTAAATCAATTGGAACAATTCCTTTTATATTTAATGGCGCTCTATTTAAATTAACTAAAAATCTGTCTGCCGGCAAAAACTTAACGCACGGTTTAATTATCGCTTCGTATATTAATATTAACAAAAAAAACAGGACTTTCGATGTCCATCAATGTTATCAAGTTACATTTATTATCATAGACTGAATTTACTTGGATATGCGGACTGAAGAGTTTCAAACGACCGTCATCCTCCTCAGCAACCAGGGCCACGGTTTCCTCTTCTGGACTATTAAATACTGCTGCAGTTACTTGGACCGTCCGCTGCTGACCGGAACCGCTTGCTCCACTTCTCTGCCGCGCAACTGGGCACTCATACTGCCGATGGCTTTTCTTTTTACAGAAGAAACAAGTGAGTTCACCATGACAAATGTTGTGAGAATGTCCGAACTTCCCGCAGTTGTGACAAGCGTTTTCTCTCAGCCTAGCACTCGCGGACGCGAACGTTTTTTATTTAAATCCGACACCTCTTCCGTAATATTTCTCGTCTTTTTCAGGAAAGTGTCCAAGGAAGTATCAGCTACGAATAGAACAGTGGCTCTCGGCATTGGTCATGCCGCTTATCAGAAGATGTATCACGTCCCTCGTAGGTAAGTCGAGTTGTCTGAGCAATGCCATTTTTGCTATCACATACTGATCAAAAGACTCTTTATTCGGCAACCATTTTCGAGCTTCTGCCTTCTGCATAACCTTATAGAAAGGTATCTTTTTCTCAAATACTTTTAAGAGCTCTGGTTTCAAACTAAACCAAAACTCTATCGCCGCTCCGCTCTGGATATCGCCCACTGTCTAGCGAACTTGATAAATTTACTAGAAGCTGCTAGCAATATCGCACCATCTGAAGCTCTATGCGATACTTTGTCTACTCTCTGTATCCAGGTACTTATGCTTTCATTTTCTGTGGCTCCAAATTCAGGAATCTGTAAGGCTATCCACGATACAGCGTTCCCGGATACCAAGCTTTCCATAACCGGTGTCTGACCAAATATCTGGGCTGGCGAGGAAGTTACTTGCGAGTCGGCTGGTTCTGACTTCGATCCTTCTCGATCGCCATGATCGATAGATACGGGTGACATCCGGTTGACCACGTCCCGATTGACCAATAGCCATTCACAGCGCTTGAACAGTGGAAAAATTCTAGGCACCGGCCCCTGGGAATGGTTAGTGATCAATCGAGACATGGTCAAACGGGTGTCACCCGGTACAGACGCTATCGATCTTTCTAACGAATTACTATCCGACTTATAAATCTGTTGGAGTACTTGCGTGAAAAACTGTTGCTGACTCCGTTGCAACTCTTTCTGTTGTTGCAGAATCGACTCAGCTACTTGAGTCAACTTGTGTGATGGAGCACCACTGTCGTGACGGGTTGCTCCGTGAGCATCGACTCCAATGAATCTCCGGCTTCCTCCCTGGGCAGACGGGCCATATTTGGCCACATGCGCCAGAATCGATTTTATGAGGCTTACTCTATCTTCAAATTGGGAGACGGAAACGACGTGCTTCATTCTGGAGTTGGTCCAAGATCGCTCCCTCCAGCACCGTCCTGTCCATCACTTGCGTCTTCAGCATCATCTGCTGCAACTAACACTATACTGCTCTGATTTTCCTGATTTTTGCGATTTTCGCGCGCGACTTAGTCTCTTCTGTGAGCGTGTGAGCTGTAATCCCACTTCTGAGATTTATCGCTGTAAACTATTTATTAAAATTATTTTTGAATTTGAATAAAGTTACCGTTTGTCAGGAATTCGAGTTCGATTATTTTTAAACAATGTCCGTTATATTTAAGCGCGCGCACAAGATGAATTTGTCCGCCATGTAGCGGTCATAGGAGCAGGAAAAGGCGGAATCTTTAGTCTTTTAATGAAGGGGCACAATTTTAAAGAAAACACTAGAGTATATATTTTAACGTCTGAACAGAGTTTATACAAAAATCTCGAAGAACGCACGACTGAACAACGATACGATATCGACTTTACACGACTAGTTTCGACTAACTTCGACTTCGGCTTTGACCCTCGCGAAGAAGATATCTGTCTCAACTACCGACTAGAAAGGATCGCCGACTGCGAAAAATGGAACACATTCGATGATATTAGTTCAAATAGAGATTGCATCAGCCTCGCTATGATTGATCGAAATCGAAGTATCGAAAAGCGAGCGCTGGGATCGTTCGAGTGCCGCTCTCACCGTTCGCCGCATAGCACTTTTGGCGGTCGCCTTAGGAACTACATACTAGACCGCTAACTCCTCTATTTACTGAGCCTGAAAGTTGACCCCAAAACTTATGTATTATATAAGATGCAATCCCCTAACAGCACATGATATTATATGAATATTCTGTATTTATACTGAACTATACTGTGATCATACCGAATATACTAAGATTATTTGTATAAAATCTGTGTAAAATATCATTTGTTGTATATTTTCAGATATACTCAGACTATAATAAATAAACTTTGCTATATATATTGAATTACTAAGATAATACTGAATTTACTCAAAATATCTCAGATATACTCCAAATATAATGCAAAGATTTTAAAATTTAGACTATTTATACAACAATAAACAACATTCATTAACCGGATTATATTTTATCAAAATTCCGCAATTATTTATATTATTATTTCAGTAGCAAGTTTCATTTCAATACAGAGGTTAAATGACATCGAGCAGGATCTCCAAATGGATGGAGACCGATTTTATAAACATACGGTGATAGGAGATAAAAGATATTTTATCAATTTCTCTCATTTTTTTCATTTTTTAATTTTTTTATTTATTTTCCGTAAGGGATGTCATTATGTATATTATAGATTTTCGATATTAGTAGTCAATACCCAATCGTAATTTTATCGACATTTTGCTACCTAGGATATATTGAGGGTATACTTCAGACAAGCTAGTTACATACTATAGATCTATTCAGTATATCTCCATAAATTACCAGCAAAAATCTACGGGATAAGGTAACGCGGCATAGTAAATTATTAGTATATATTTGATATATCATGTATGTATTTCGAATATCATGCGAATATCGTGATATACTTTTGCGATATCTTACAAACATCGTCACGATCTATATGGCTGTCTGTAGGTCTATTCTCTAACTTCTTAACAACAATTTCACTAGCTAAGAATGTCGTTACGCAGATTTAACGATACTATAACGAAAAATGGTATTCTGTAATTTAACGTAATGATAAATCGTTAAAAAATCGATAAAGTAATTTAACGTAATGATAAATCGTTAAAAGTATTGATAAAGTACCAAATCTTAACGTTAAGGTATCGATGAGTATCGGATTCCTCGATAAGCCATGACGACAACATAACTAAACATATCAATCAATAGCAACGTTCCGAAGCAGCTCCAAATAATAGTACGGAAGTGTGCAAGTATAGTATAATTTTATAATTTAAATATATGAACATCATAAACTTATTCTAAACATATCAAATATTAAGAAAAACACGCAAAAAGTAATATTATATAATTAAATAAAATATTTTAATTAAAAGCAATGTATTATCAATGTTATAATATCTAAGAATATTAAAATAAATAAATAAATAGATATAGGTTATTTTATGAATTATATGCAATGTAAATCAAATGTTTTTCATAAAAAATTTTAGATAAAAAGTTAAGATTTTCTCTTATTTTTAAAATAAAATAGCTGAAGGATATTTGGCATGGAATATACTATAAGAATTAGACGACCGTAAGCAGTCATGAAAGAGATTCGGAATATAAACAACTAACAAAGAGGAGCCGTGATCGTGCAGACTAAGTGTCAGATTAGTAAACGAGGGATCCCGAGTTCAAATCCAATCGGTCTCCGTTTATTTTTCCGAATCTCATAAATATCTTTCATCTCAGAAATGGGATTCAGCCCATGTTACCTCAGAGAGGATACAGCCTATGTTATCTGACAGGGAGAATTCAGTCGATTTTGTGTGTGTCGTTTGTATGTTGTTCAAAATGAACCAATTCGGGAA